CTGCCGAAAGCATCCGGCTCCGGCAAGCCATGTGAGCACATATGGTAGCGCCAACGCGACCTCAATCCACGGGAGAAAACAGAATATGCAGCATGTGGCTGGGTTTCCGCCAGAGTGGAGGTAGTAGTAGTAGTAGTAGTAGTAGTACTAGTAGTAGTAGTAGTAGTAGTAGTAGTAGTAGTAGTAGTAGTAGTACCGTACTGGCAATATATGTTGCCGCGTAACGCGTAACGCAGGGGGGTGCGGCGTAACGCGCGAACAGGCTAGTGCGACAAATTTTCGTTGAGTTCGTAACGCGCGTCCGGCGGGGTGCGGCGATCTTTTCATTGCAGTTTGCAAAAAAATGATGCGGCAATAGCAAAAAAATGATGCGGCAATAGCAAAAAAGTGATGCGGCAATAGCAAAAAAAGGACTGCGGCAATATAGAAACCTGTGTAACGGCTCCTGTGCGACTTTGCATGTAACGCCCTGCGTGCGGCAAACATGTGCCAATGTAACGCTTCATGGCCTCACTGCGGCAACATATATTGCCAGTACGGTAGTAGTAGTAGTGGTAGTAGTAGTAGTAGTCGAATCTATTATTTAGAAAAGCGATCCTGTCAGCTTTTCTATTATTGTGTTCACATGGCAAGAAAAACGACACCGCTATGCTACGTAAGTTTCTACGTAAGCTGCTCGGTATTTCACTTAGGCTACGTAAGTCTCTACGTAAGGTGCTCGGTATTATCTACCAACGGGTGGTAGCCGCGTGCTGTGCACGCGCACGGCAGACATTGTGTTGCAGTGCAGTCCGTGTTCGGATGTGCATGCGCGAGGAACTTCCTCCTTTGGAACTGCTTCTTGTATGAGCTGTTTCGGATATTTCGTCTCCTGGCCTGGCTTATTTCGTTTCTGCGCTGCTGAGACCTCCTTTCGCGGAATATTACTCAATGACAGGTGAGTTGACCAGTTCCCTTTTATTCATTTCCTTGTGTTGACTCTTTCATTTACGAAAAGTGTGCTCATTTTGGGCGGAATGCAATAAATAATGGAACAGCTGACAGGATCTCTTTTCTAAATTTAGCTTTTCCGCTGCCCAGGCCTCCTTTTACGGAATACTCGATGACAGGTGATCTCTGAGTTGACCGGTTTCCTTCGATTCATTTGCTTATGCTCACCCTTTCATTTACGGAAACGTGTGCTGATTTTATTCGGATTTAGATCCATTTTTATCTCTTTGCCCTTGTCTACAGTGTGCGAAGAACGCGAGTTCACCTTCTTGACGGTGAGGCTTATGTTAGATGTGTTGTCGAAATACTCATATTCATTGTACATTGGTACGTTACAAGTAAGGCACTGGTCAGTGGCATACTATCGTTGGCAGTTCCCAATCTGGAGGGAAAGGTTCAAGGACCCATTGACCGAGTTTGCAAAATAAATTCGCATATCAGGGAACATCTCCATTGTGGAGAGTTTCAGTAAACTTATTTGCTTCATACGAAACAAGTCAAAGGGTGCAGTCTCGTCTCGTCAAGATCTCGTACTTGTATGTTTGGATTTGTTTACTCGAGTCTGGGCTGTTTGATTTATTATTTGTGAGTTACGCCGAGATTGCACTGCCCCAAATGAAGTTTCGTGCCGCCAAAGCAAGAATTACGATCTGCAAACTGTTTGTAGTACCTGCAAGAATGTGGAGTACATGTATCGTACTTTCTCTGTTGCTGTTTCAGTTGCCGTCATGTTGCTAAAGAAACGTTCAGTAGAGAGGTTCTGCAAAACAAAAATTCGAACGAAGTTTCGCGACAGTCCTTGCGAAAGTGTGTACGAATTTTTGCACGAAGTTTGCGTTCTGCACATTTTCGTAGTTTGCGCTGGCCAAGTGCACGTACGCCATGACCCGATCACACGAAAGTGTGTGCGACTGTTCATTTCGCGTTCCCTGCAAGTTTCGCATCCAAAGCTGCGAAAGTTCGTGCGAAGTTTCGCACCTCCTGATGTAGAGGGAAAGTTTGTACGCATTTTCGTTTTGCAGAACCTCTCTAGTGACTCATTTGTTTCATACGAGACGAGTCAATGAGTTGGTGTGGCTTAGAATCTTTCGCTGTAGAAGAAATCTATTCGTATGTCTATTGGAGAAATAATTGTATTCACTGGTTATAAAATAGGTTAAGACAAACTCACAGAATAAATACCATCGGTCCCTTGGTGTTCGTCCTAAAGAGGTTCGACTGGATATCATTCAAACTCACCAAAAGATGTGTAAGATTTTATTATTATGGAGTGCCTTGTTTATTTCTCAGTACCTCCAACCATAGCCTTGCCCCTTTTATCCTCAGGATCAGTGTAGTTGTTGGAACGATATGTCGGACTCGACAATGTATTTATTTACATTTTAATACATGTATATTGTTCCTCCTTTGCTGTGTTGTTTTAGAAAATCGTGGACTAACAGTTTGAAGTCATTGAACTACTTCCAAAAGTTGTATCGACATCAACAGGGTTACGATTTCAGTGCAATACGATGCAGGATGACCTTATCACGATAACCCATGATTACAAACCATTATAAACACAGAATCAACAAAAACATCTGCGACACGCACCTGGTTACATTTCTCAAATAAATCTGAAATATCTGAAAGGCAAGACAATTTTATGACAGAGTCATGAAATTCTGCTACAGCAACATGCACAGAATGACCTCCGTATAAAAAGAAGTATCACCACGGTCCACCACAACTCACATGTTTCCCCGCAGAAGAACATGCTTGTGCCATTTTCTGCAAGAAAAGGCTTGCACATCAATGCGTATAATACAGTATTGATATGATGTGAAGGCCATCATTTACATGTTGATATAGGGCATTCCATTGATTGGTGACAGAAAAAACAAAAGAAATTATAGCAATAAAAACTGCTTTATGGCAGTTTTCTAAAAAAAGTTATTGTGTTCTAGTCCATGGACCCCGTCTAAAAAGTAAGAAATTAACAAAATGTGATAGCTGAAAATTAAAATTTCACACAAAACCTCACAATAATCACACACAGAATGAAAAGCTACATGTAGAAGACCTTTTCCCCTCGTGATCCTCTTTCCTTTGCATGCATGACATGCATGTTGCCAATTGTTGGTGCAGTACAAGTCTAGTGTTGAAAGCAGCATTTCAAGTGTTGTGATTATTGTGAGGTTTTGTGTGAAATTTTAATTTTCAGCTATCACATTTTGTTAATTTCTTACTTTTTAGACGGGGTCCATGGACTAGAACACAATAACTTTTTTTAGAAAACTGCCATAAAGCAGTTTTTATTGCTATAATTTTACTAGGGAACTCCCAACAGGCGTTGCCTTTTTACTGGGAACCCTCGGAATGACTTGGTGCTTCTTCAATAGGTTCGTCGAATAGTAGTACACTGTATTTTTTAAAATAGGTTTTCATTTGACCTGACGAGACCACACGATGCTTGCAGACGACACCACGAACAGTCCATCAGCCACACTCCACGAAAGCAAGCAGTGTTGCTTCTGAAAAGTCTTGTTTCGTTCAAGAACTCATCAGAGGAGACATACGCACGACGCTTAGCCTTTTCATGGCGGTAATAGGTAGCAGCAAGTGAGTTGGAACGGTTCGAACTGCTTAGCCTTTTCATGGCGGTAATAGGTAGCAGCAAGTGAGTTGGAACGGTTCGAACTGCTCAACATGGAGGTTGAATGTACATGTAGGGGCGTTCGAACCGTCCTCCCCAATTATGAACACTATATGCGTAGTGCTTGCGAACAAGTGCATTTAGCATGCAACACTGTGTTAAGATCAGGCACAGTCACAATGGGACGAGCGGATCAAGTCGACAACGACAAGGGAAGAGAATCTCAGAAGTTCGAGAGAGGACAAGGTAAGGCAAGCAAGACAAGGCAAGCAAATCAAGGCTAGATAAGGCTAGGGGGAGGAAGGCAAGACAAGGGAAGAGAAAATGTTCCAGCAAGAGCTTATCTGGGGCCTGGGTAGCTATGGAGATAAATGTGCTAAAGCGCGAGTCCAGCTACCCAGGCCAAAGAAAGAAAAGATTAGGAAAAGCAACAAGGGTGAGTACGTCGAGTGCGCGCCTGAAAAGGTGAGTACGAGAGTGAATGTGAGTGCGCGCCCGAAAAGGTGAGTTCGCGCCTGTAAAGGTGAGTACGAGAGTAAAGGTAAGTTCGCGCCTGTAAAGGTGAGTACGAGAGTGAAAGTGAGTGCGCGCCCGAAAAGGTGAGTACGAGAGTGAAAGTGTGTGCATTATGTGAAATCGTGAACCTAACAACTGTACAAAAGTATAACCCGTACGAAAGGTCGAAATTCAGCTTTGTCCGAAAATCTTTCTTCACATTGGCCGGTGTTTCCACCGAGTCTTGAGATGTTTCCGTCCGAAAATTTCCTGCTATACTCGTACATGTACTCTGCAGCTACACGTAGTAATAGTATGCTCTCCCGATAGAATTTCAAGTTGACGTCATTTTTTATGTTGCAATGCTCCTTGCATCAGTGACTGATAATATCAAGAATCCATAAACAGGTTTTCTATGCCCTCTTAAATTATGTTTACGGGTGTGTACGCTCCACACGTGTTTCTGTCAATGCACAGGATCAGATGGGTTTGGTCTGCCGCATGTTCCCAGTTTTTTCTTATATATTATTCTTGGAAACTAGGGAATTCACAGCAGGCGGCATCGCCTTTTTACAGTCTTGATGGATGATCGAAATTTAGTAGGCGAACTAGAAAGGCGATAAGCAAGTGGCAGTGCATTCCACGGGTCACACGGGTCAGCGTCTACGTAACAAATTGCACTGAAACCATTGCACATGCTAGCAGGGGGGGGGGGGGGGACAAGCGCGACAGACACCTGATGACGGGTAAGGGCATCAGTGTGAGTACCATGAGCACGAAGAGTACTAACAGTGGCCTTGTACTGTTGTAGCAGAGAGCGCCAAGTTCTTCTGATAATCCGCGTCTATAATAGCGCGCATTGCATCATAAAAAAGACCTCAGCTTGAAATTCAGTCTGGACGGCACCCAAATCCGAGTAACAGTTGCACACTCCTGGGGTCGGTATGTACTCTTGCAGTGTTGGTCTTGGTAGTCGTTATGGGCACACTGCAGGAATGCAGGACTCTACATGATCGATTATGCTTTGAGTTTGAGTTCGAAGTTCCGGGTGCCATCAAATTTTACTCTCTTGGTTGGACTACAATAAATTGCTAGCTAGCAGTTGGTCCCTTTTTGACGTGTCGGAAGAAGAAGTCATCCAGCTGCCTTGAGTTTTGTATCTGCCAAGTGGATTTCCCGCAAGGCCTTTGCTCTTTCCACCTTGTCACCATGCACACTCGAGGTTAGTTACGCAGATGGGTCTCTTATTCGCTCTCCCCTCTCCCCTCTCTCTCTCTCTCTCTCTCTCTCTCTCTCTCTCTCTCTCTCTCTCTCTCTCTCTCTCTCTCTCTCTTTCTCTCTCTCTTTCTTTCTCATTCTCCATCCTCACCTTTCAGACTTTCGTGTCGTTGGGGAATTAGGTGTCAAGTAAATGTTGTATGATTGTAGTATGACCGATTGGCTGCGCTTCGAAGCCTGAAGACAAATATGCATGGCCTTCGCTCCGTTCATGGTTGAATACGTAATTTAGTGTCATACCTTTGCCCTCGGCATGAGACAAGGCCTGTATTCTAGACGGCAGCTGACATATCAGACTTTGTGCAGTTTGTATACCTCCCAGGGTAATAAAGTAATAAAGGGCTTGTTTCGCATTGCACAGACCACCGTCCGATCAAAACTACCACCCTACGGCCTACCTGGTTTCGTCTTTCCAACGTCTAGCTTTCGATAACATCTATGAAACCGACCAAGTGGCATTTCATTACCTTTGAGTGTGAAATTCTTCCTTGAAACATTTGTTGCCCGCAAAACCGAAGGGAGGAAAAATCAGGAAGGTTTTACTCATGTCATGAGCACAGATATTGTAAATTGTATGTGGTGGAAGCAAAAGCGGTCGTTAAGGTGGCTGGGGCGGTACAACTTTTCAGGGGTCTTTTTGATCACATTTTGACTGCATTTTTGAGTTTATCGGCAAGGCAGAGATGAAATTTGACAATGTTTTCTGGTGAATATCTGGAGAATAGCCTTCTCTAGCTTCCTATAGTTTTATTTTTACTTTCGGACAAAAATTGAAAACGTTTTATGAAAGGTTCGTGTTATAAAAATGCAGTCAAAAATTTCCCAAAAAAGTTGTACCACCCCAGCCACCTTAAAGCCAGGTGGTCTTTCGAACAAGGTCCCACAGTTTCTGTGTATAACTGTCTGTGCAAGGGAAAACGGTCGTTAAGAGCAGATGGTCGCTAAACCCAGAGGTCGCTTACACAGGTTTTACTGCATTGGGGTTGTGAGTTCCAATTGTGCCAACATCGGACTTTTCAAGAAAGCAGTGGAACTATCCTGGACGAATGAAACTGGGTAAGCACCACCGTGACACCGAACTACCTTATGACGCATTGCAACCAGTGTCTTTCCGAAGTTGCCGCCACTCTAGGGTCAAGAGGCTAAGGAGCAAAACTTACTTAGCCGCACAATCTACGTTGACAACGTCTGGGCTGAGCTTGTTCTGCAAACCCGTTGACCCATATTGTTCTCCGCTTGAACTGCTAGAATGTATTGATTCGCATAGTTCCGCTGTTGTACGTCTCACCAAGAGAACCGTGGATAGAATACATATTTCCGTGCGCAGTTCGAAACTTCCAATCGCATCACCACTCATAGTGTGGCGCAGGCCACATATACTTGCCCTCCCGATTGCTTTGCAATTTCGCGTGAGTTCTGAGAGTCACTTCCAAAAGGCTGAAAACGCGTGAACTCTAGAACTGCAGGCTGCATAATTATACATGTACTCCGATGGGATTCGGAACGAGCGCCAACTGGACTAGAGCGATTAGGACGGCACAAGCTACCATTGTCAATGCTTGCTCTCGTTGAGTGTTGGGAAGCGGTCTACATGATTGTATATCCGCAAACGGTATAAAAACCCAGATAACGGCTGTAGTGGTGTGCATGGTGTAAAATGTTGTTTTTTCAGCAACTCTTAGGAAGGCTACTGGTAAATCAATTACGGCAAGTGGAAGTGGCACTGCATCTGCGCCTTGATCCTAGAGGGTGGTGGCGTTCCCACGGCGGATGCGGAAAACTCGGCCGAACCGTGAAATTTATTTATTTATTTATGTCGGCAGGGAATAGGCCTTGGCGGATAATGCTCGAAAAGGTGGCAGATTCTGCTCGAAAAGCAGTGAAATTGGCAGAACCATACAAACCTTATGGCGGGCAATTCCTCGAATTCTGCTCCATTTCTTTTTCCACATACCAAACATGCATGAAACGTACCAGAAAAAGTACCGAATTCTGCCAATTTTTCTGCCGCCATTATCCGCCAAGGCCTAGCAGGGAAGCGCGAGCTCCCATGTCAAGAGCGACACCCATATCCCTAAGTGGCCATTAGTAAATACCGATATTTTTTCCAGACGATATTTGTTCATGTTTCCCCCCTTCCCCTCAAAACCAACATACAGATGCTTATGCAGGGGATGGATATCTTCTAGAAAGAAGTGCGATCTCCTCATGAAACGTGGCTATCAGCAACTGCGAAGTCACTGCTCACCTACGGTTTCATTGACAAAACCATGCCGTGGCTATATTCACAAGGCTGACTTTCCTTTTTGGCATGTCATTAACTACACGTTTCTACAGTGCCGGTCAGCATCTAGACAACGAGATTGTCTAGCAAAGACGAGACTAACAGAGACCAAACCCCTCCCCCCCCCCTCCCAAACGTACCAATATCTTCTCTAAAATATATTGATAATTGTGGACAATCCCTATAGAGTATATCGCCGAAATCGCAACAATCTATTCACTGGTTTGGGGGGGGGGGGAGAGAAAGATGCAAATTGGAAAATCTCTTCTACTCAGTATATTTAATTTTATGTGTGTCTGAAATTTTTTACTTAAGGTGCACGAAGCGTTATGCGAGGGCTTAGCTACACGGTACTGCTGACATTACTGCTGGCAATCTTGCAATCAAGTAGTAGCAAGGCCGAACGCGAAGCTCAAACGTCGCCTCCAAAGTCGCCTCGTACACCATGTCACTCCTACCCAATTCCCGGGAACGATGGCCGCAGATGGCTACTCCTCAGCTGCGTCGCTCGTGGGTTTACTTCGCTTCCCGAGTTGTCTGATGACGTCAGAGGCAGGACAGACTCCTTGTAAGTAAGCTTGTATGTAGCAATTTAGTTAGCAATATTTTAACAGGTACTGAACGACATTTTCCACTATCTTGCAAAAGGCAGAAATTTATAACATAGGAAATTGTGGGCACAAATTATGCGATCGAGTCCACCAACTGAACCAGATTTTGAACCGTCAGACGTGCAGAATCTACCACAAAACTGACCAGGTGTACTGAGACGTTCCACGGCATGAACGTCCCACAATTTCCCATGTTACAATTTTTTCCTTGATTCACCATGCGAAAAGTCAGAAAGTGTAGAGTTTTCCAGAATCTTGTCTACCTGTGTGAGCTACCGTGGATGAAAAATGGCACCACAAACTGGGATATCCGGTCATCAATGTTCTGAAGTTAATCGATATCACTTCAAGGATTGCTAGAGGATGACAATTAATCTGTCAACTGCATCGTATGCTGCGAAAGCTGTGTTTTTTTTAAATGTTTAACTAGTGGCTGTGTCATACGGTGGAATTGAATAGGTAGCATAGCATTGGAGCGAGGTTTTCGTTCTCACAGAGAGTATTACGTGACCCACTGTTCTTTATCATTGTTTTTAGTGATGGCAGCACGGCCTGACCTCGTCCAAAGGCCCTGCGGAAGCAATTCAATGCCCTCAGGGGCTTATTTACACATTTTAAACAAAATGGCAAAGCAACCACCGCTCTTTCCACAGACGTGACAGGGAGAATTAAAATTATATGCACCAAACCCTCTGGTCAATGTTGATCTACGATAAACTGGCTTAAATTTGCCACCACCCATGTTTCGAAACTGCCATCCGGAGCAGTGAAAGATCCAGAAGAAAATCAAAATTTGGACAGTTGTTAAAAATGCCAAATATTAAAAAAGGAGCCAAATCACCGCATACATGTCAGTCAAATGCATACTCGCTCATTACTTGCGCGCCTTCAGACTTTTTTCAGAGAAACAGTAGATTTTGTGCTTTCTTTTTTGCGCGCACTGAAACCCGTGGTGAAGGATTTTTTGTGGTTTTCGCGTTATAAATTATGGAGGCGATTTCAGCAACTTCCACATGTTTTGGCACGGTTGCGAAACGCCTTCGTTACGGGTAATTGTGACCTCTTTGGGAAAGGGTTAGCGTGCCTTTGCCTCCTTCTCTTGCTCGAAGTGCAGCCGTTTCGCTAACTTGCCACGTATAGGCATTGGCGGATTCTGCTCGAAAAGCATTGAAATTGGCAGAACCATACAAACCTTAGGGCAGGCAATTCCTCGAATTCTGCTCCGTTTCTTTATCCACATACCAAACATGCATGAAACTTACCAGAAAAGGTACCGAATTCTGCCAATTTTTCTGCCGGCATTATCCGCATCATCCACGTATGGATAATAGAACAGATTGTTTTTTTGTGTTTTTTTATATTCTATTTTGAATTCGCAAATTCCGTGATTACATAATTTTAGTGATGTAGTGCGTACAAGCAGGATTCAAGCAGGTCTCTTTCTGCACAACTGCAGCTCAGTTGTACGCACTACGCAATTTCCCGCTTCAGATCTGCACCAAATATGATGAAATCACGGAATTCCGCCGTGACAGACACCCATAGCAGAGAAAACCCCAAGCTGCACACTCTGGTTTTCAGGTACTCTTGGTTACAGGGAAGGACAGTTGGTGAGAAAGCAATGAGAAAGACCAGAGAATAGGTTATTGTTTGAGTACGGGAGATATTTCAATGAAGACCGAAGTGTTGTGAAAAAAAAGCCACAGATTCAACTCTTCTGTCGCTTCCCGATTTGTAGTAGGGTAGTATGGTTGCGTTCTCGACCCTGTTGCTTACATTGCACAGTTTAAAGTGTCTCAATGGTTCGTGGCGATTTTACGCCACACCACATTACGCTCGTCGTGTGTGAAGTAGGCTTTAGCAGCAAGTGAACGTTCTTCACGTTTCATGCTCTCGTGCACAATATTTCGCCGAGATTACAGCGAGTTTTCCAGGCAACTCAGACTGTACAACGACAAACTCGCTGGGCTATCACCATGGTTACTTATTATTTTGAAACACACCTAGTAGCTAATGAGCATGATTAGGCACAACACATGTATTGATAACGTGTCCGATCCCCCCCCCCCCCCCCGCCTGAACTGCTATTATTATTTCCAAACCGCGTTGTGAAAGAAAGAACCTCAAATACAAAGTATTTGCTGCTCATCGGCATATGCCTTGTCAGAGTTCCACTTTGCATAATATGCAATGTACTTTCAGAGACGCCTAGTTAGGCCTCGACCAAATATGCTAAAAGAAAGAGCATATTATGCTCGTCGCATATCAGGGAAAACGTCCGTAATATGCCAAAGGCTTAGCAAGATATGCAAAAAGATATGCCAAAATATGCTCGACATGAGCAGAAAGTGTAGATCATTTCAGTAAAATTACAACTTTGGAATATTCATTGGCTTCGCGGCTATCATGCTTATGGTGCAAATCAAAGCACGTGCGGAATAGTATGGCTGGTGCGTGTCCCCAGCAACCGTAGCGATAGTGTTCATCCATGGGGAAATGTAGCAAACGCCTCAACCCAGTGGCGGATCCAGGGGGGGGGGGTTCCGGGGGTTCCATGGAACCCCCTAAATTTTGCAAAGCGTGCTGGTGAGAAAATCGAAAAATAATCATGTGCGCACAAAAAGGCGTCCATCCGATCACGGCCAGTGGAGTCACTGAGCCAAGACTCAAGGAGTACAGACAGTGCACCGCATGCGCGTGCGGTATACCAGTAGATCGATACTGTACGTAGTCTGTACACGTCCGTGATTTACAAACGGACATGAGTCTGTAGCTGTAGACAACATTGGGTGGTTGTTTCCTTTTTGATCTTTCGAAACGATCCAAACTTACCTCCATTGGCGCTGTCATTCACTACTGCCCAGGATGGGTGTGGTGTGGTCAGTATTCCTTGGACAAGTTTTTTTGCAGAAGAGAAAGGATGTTCCGAGTGATGACACTCTTCAACGAACTTCGAATCGTACACGTAGAGTTCAATCTCCTCAGAAGATGAGGGCTCCGACATCCAAGCAAAGTCAGTAATCTTTACCTGCTGCAGCATGCAGTAGTGACTAGTTGTTCCTCCGCAGGAACGGAGTGCTGCGCCAGCGATGTGTTTTAGACGACATTGGAAGGCTTGAACAATTGTCGACACTGTTTCGCTGTTGTTGTTTCTGTCACTGAAGTGAAGACGATGCTCTTGTCCTTTGACTATAGCATTTCGCTTCGTAAAAATGCCAAAAATTTCCGAAAGTACAAATGGACAGGGAAAGTAACTTAGTTGTCATTTCAGCATTCCTGGCTCTCAACGTACGCATGGCTTGCATATTCGATCTTTACAAGAAGTTGAAAGGGTCTTTATGCCCTCACTGAACCTGTGTGCCAGTCGATTGCATACATGTATGTGATTATTTGTCCGTACTAAATAATATTATGCAATGTAGGGTAAGCAGCAGCATTATTTTGGCCCTGTATACAGGTTTTCCATCGTCCACCACACCACACCTGCGCTCTCCAGCGATGGTGGTGTGCTGTGGCAACGTTACGTGTCGAGGCCGGCTGGAAAGCACAGTTGTGGTGTGGTCGATGATGGAAAAATATATGTCCGTAGTGTATTTTAAAAGCATGCGATTCCCACTAACACAATCGGATTGTCGTAATTACAAGTGTCAACCGCACAACTTCAAAACAATCTGATTCCATAATATTTTGGCTGTTCAATTTTGGTTCGACCGGAACCCCCCTGTATAGATCTCTGGATCCGCCCCTGCAACCAATCCAAATTCATCCATAAAAGGCATTTCTGAACATATTTTGTCCATAATAAGAATGTTTTGTCCTCATTTTCTTCAGTATATTTAATTATATGCTGGCTTCATTTATCCCTTTGTTGCTCAATATTCCATACATTATGAACTTTCACCCAAAATATGCGGAAATATGCGCAAGCATATTTGGTCGAGGCCTAGCCTAGTACTCAAATTATGAGTACTAGACGCGTCTGAAAGTACATGTACCGATAATCGTATATTGATTAAAGTCAATCGGCACTTGTTTGATTTCATGTAAAATTTCTTTTTGTGCATCCAGGAATATGCGATACAACCATCTCACCCTCGACGATCCAGAAACATTCAGAGGCATGTTCGTTATGTTCTTTTTGTAAGTGGATATAATCAAATTAGCACACAATTGCAACAATTTTGCCTTGCCAAGTTTTCCTGTTCAAAGTATGTGCAATGTGAAATACTTTAAAACAGTTTTTCCGGTACAAAAAGTAGTGAAATACTTGGGAGAGGATACGCTTCAGATTTTTACTTTTCGAACGTTGGCCGACTAGGTCCAACTCAGTCAGGCTAATTCTAAGTTACACCTAGTTCCTCAGCTCCCTGCAGCACACAGGAAAAACCTAGACATTGTGCTGTTTCCCAAGGGGGTGCGCGAAAATAGCAACATTTGTAAGTGATAATATATGACTTATTGGAGTGAGTGATGAATGCATGACAGTTGAATGGTTCCAGGGTTCTCACCATGAGTTGTAATCAAACTGTATTTTACTACTCCCTGATTCGCATGCTGCCTCAAAGGACTGGACAGCTTTTCAGGCTTTCACCAGATGATACTGAAATTATTGTGGGTGTCCTAGAAACTTGTATGCAGTACTCTCAGGGAGGGTTGTTGTAGCTCGAAATACCTACTTTGTAGGGTATAGAGCCTTACACGCATAGAAAGAAGGGAACAGAGCCGTTCTGCTGCTTCTGTTCTACCTCCGAATTTCAAACCTTTACCGATCATGCGACAACAATAGGTAAAACAGTTAAACCCAGGGTTTAAGCAGAAATGCTTCGTATTCCTCCTTCTCTGCCAACTTCAAAAGTTAATGAGACTTCCATTATGTATAATGCTGTTTAAAAACTGTCCTTGTCTAAAGTCTCTCTGTTTCTCTCTCTCTCGCTCTCTCTCTCGCTTTCGATCTCTCTCTGTCTCTCTCTGTGTTTCTCTCTCTCGCTCTCTCCTTCTCTTTCTCTCTCTGTCTCTCTCTCCCTCTCTCTTCCCCTCTCTCTCTCCCTCTCTCTTTCTCTCCTGCCCTCTTTCGCCCTTTGATGTCCTTTCTTTCTTCTCCTAACATCATACCCTTCTATCAATTTCCATCGAGAGACTATACACAAAATAATGCAACTGTCGTCTCTTTTCTATGGGCCAGATGCGCGGTGCGCTACCTTTTTACATCATTCAGAGGCCTTTCGCGCAGAGCGTAAAATCAAAAAACACACTTCCCCGCTGGTTTGAAATGAAACTTCGTATGGAACTGGAGTTCATGCGCCAAAATTGGAGATCGCTTAGATACTTGAACGACTCAATCAGAAGCGGATGGACTCGCACAGGAAATTGTGGGTTTAGAAGGTTTAGAACGTGATGGGGGCAAGTCAGTGCGCCGCTCACTGACCCATAACCACAGTTCCATACTCTTGTTTATGCACTCTTGATTTCCATCTTTTACTCGTTCTCATTGTCTTTCTCAACCTACTTCAGGTCTCATGATAATCATTTTTGCGTTTTGTTCTTGTCCAGGAATTTGGGATACAACAACATTCGCGTTTTGAAGAAAGGCATCTTTGACGACTGCAAGAATTTGCACTTACTGTAAGTTGCAGATATTATGTTAGAACAATGTCTGTGTTATTATCACAGTAGTCGAAGATCGGACAAATATACAAAGAGAAAAACAGAGATCTACTGTCGTGAGGCATGTGTCGTTGTTTAGGAGACGACCAATCGCGACACTCGCGCCAATGGCCTTATCAGATTTGAAAGTCCAGTCGTAATTATACGACTCTTTGATGACGCACTGAGTATTAGTATACCCTGATCGATTGTTACAGTCCCTCACACCCTGGCTATCGGGAGATAACATACGGAAGTATCAGTACTCAGTACCGAATTCTGGCAATATTTCTGCCAGCATAATCCACTGATGCCTACTCGCGAGATATATGCCTTTGGACAATCCTTAAATAAAAATCAATCAATCAATATGGCGCTCTGACGGCACTTTACGTTACTTATAATAGTATAGGTCATGACATTTGAAACAAGCATGTATTAGCACTTTAGTAGTCCAGCAGTCTATCACGTTCTGTTCGTTCTGTAGTGGATCTGGGTCCATATTTGTGTTATAGTGTTTGACCTTTGTCTATGCATTATTCTACCCCAGTGCCATTTATGTCTGACTGGTGACATCATGCATACTACGCACGTGCACCGTACGACCTTGCGGCATTCACACTGTATGCTGCTGGCAACTCATGCTACTTATCTATAGGTTTTATTCTAGTAATTAGTTAGTTGAAAACAGGACGAAGTTGAGTGTTGTTGTGTGTTTTAGATGACTGCGAAAGTCATTACACGTTCCACTTCACCAGGTGACTTGGCCTAATGGGTAGACAGATGACCATGTTCGTTTTTTCACGTGACAATTCCTCTGGTGTGTCCCCACAGTGGTTTGCGAAATAACGCAATAGAGACTATCGAACCAGATGTCTTCGCCAAGAACACCAAGCTGGTCCGGTTGTAAGTATTATGTTAATGTGTGTGTGTGTGTTTCATAGAATACTGTTTGAGAACAAAAAAGGTATTGGCTAGTACTCATGTGATCACCATTCGAAGTACAGTGCTGGCAATTGAATTCCGCCCCTTTAACGATGCGTTCACATTCTAGCGGTCTCAATTTCGTAGTTTTACTGTCCCGTGTTGGGCCTATGCTATGTGAGCGCAACGCTCAGGGGTCGGATTCCAGTTACTAGCACTGTTGGTTCAGCTTAGGAAAAGTACGATGGCGGCAGATGTCCCTTGCGAGCAACTACCGCCCCTTGTACAGCATGCTCCTCTCTTTTCACAGTATCACGCTGAATTGGCCATGGCCATGATTCGAAGCCGGAATCTTTATTGAACTGGGTGCATTGTTTGTTCAGTTTGTTTTTGATTTACAAATTTCTAGTTTGTGTCCTCGACAGTACAATGTACAACTTCAAGACGATCGAGCAGAAATCAGAATAGCTGGTGGCCAGCAGAAAGAGATTGAGGGAGTGCAGCGTTGCTTACGTTTTCGTTGCAGATCAGTCAGATACGTGTACTAGATCTGTCCATATTGTTCCGTTCCGTGGTTCAGTCATAAATTTCCGTTTGTCTTTGTCCAGGGGCTTCAGTCAATGCCCACAAGCTACTGGTCACTGAATATAATAATTTGATATGTTGCCCACTTATCAGTACTGGGCGTCGCCAATGTAGCCTTGTTTGGGTATGTGGACCTTAGACAATGCGTCGGGTGTAGATATAGTTCTACAACGGTCCTCTCCACATTCATGATCACTGTGCTGTTCACAGTGATAATCGTTCTGATAGGAGATACTCTGCACGCAATATATTCAGAACCGCCGTTATCATGAATGTTACGAGGAGACTCGTAGAACTCCAATCGGAGTTCGCTGAGGCTCCTCCAATAAGTGTTTTTGTGTGCCACTATCCATGTCTGCTGCTCTTAGGTACTTGCAACACAACTCGCTCGTCGAGCTGCCACGTGATGCGTTTGGGAGCGTGGGTTTGCATGCGTAAGTGTGTTGCTGATGCTGTTGAATTTTATAATACTTTTTATGGTCGCAGCACAAACAGGCGGAAGCGCCCTCTTTTGTTCATGTGAGCGATTTGGCACAATAATTCGAAAATGGTAAGGGGAGGGGGGAGGGGAGGAACATCACAAAAACAAACCTGCGCCATTGCAGAAATGGCAACACAGATTATTAGCACAGGCGTAGCTTGTTAAATATGTCGAATACACGCATGATTCATTCTGTTCATTAGCTGGGCATGCATGCAGTCACTCTGGATCATGAATGTGAATAAACCGTTATGTGGGTATAACCAATGTGCATAACCATATCCATCCATCCGCGTTTAGAAGTAAGTAGAGGACACTGTAGCGAAAGGAATGGAAAAAATAATTCTGGTCTGATATTTAAATAATCGACGCGGAGACAACAATTGAGAACAAATTTTGCTGTCATCGCCACACAATATCGAAGTAATGAACGTTTTTACAAAATCTATTTTCATATCGCTTGTGTCACATGTCTTTTAAATCTGGACACCGAATCACGGGTGGAGAGGCTAGTGAACACAATACTCGCCCGAACACATGCAGAAAGAGACAATTAAAATGACATCGAAATTGCTTGTAGTGTAGTTTTCTATGGGTTTCATAAATTGATGTAAATAGAGAGGTTCTGCAAAGCTAAATTGCGTTAAACCTTTCGTTCTACGTCATGGAGAGATTCCTAGACTCCCAGTTTTCTTCACCCCCCATAATCCAGGATAACTAATCTTGTCCTTAATCTTTTCTCCCCTTCCATCGTCATCATAACATTGGGTTTGATTGCCAGTTTGACTTGCGATGTAAAATACATGCAATACAGCAATACAATGGGTATCCAGTCAGTTAGGCGCGTGACCTTTCGTCGCAAGACATTTCGAGGTGGTCAATTCATCGAATGCCATTTCGCCACTGGGCTGTTTCGCAGCTTGATTTTCGGAGAATAACACATTCGGCGAGTTCATTTCGGAGTTTTTGGGTACGGAATCCTATATCTTGATGACTCAATCATGGAAGTTCATCCTGATTTTACTGGCCTAACTTTGCGAGACAATCCTGAACTAGTCAATGATGGGTGTGAATACTTGCAAGACAAGAGAGGAAGGAACGCGACTGTGCACTGCAGCTGCGAAAGAAAGACGAGCTGTCCTGCAGAGGCTGCATGAAGACAAAAAAGCCACACTGAATCAGGACTCTTCCCACCAGTTCGTCTTGGGGTCACTGGGAAAAAAGGAATAGCTGTGGTGAGCTTGCCATCTTCCGTGGCTCTGAAGCGAACAGAGCGCAGAGCCCGAAATGCAGCCCATAGTGTTCCGCCCACACCAACTAACTTGGTCACGCTGGTATTACTGGACATGTACTGGTGCATTACTGCATTATGGCGCGATTTGTCTGCATAGACGCCGAGACCAAGACGCCGAGACATTTGAAGTCGGCAGAGCAGCCTGGCCCCGCCACCACTTCTCGCACATATTCGGGAATATAGTGGATTTTCGTATCAAAATAAAAATAAAAACAAACATGAAAATGCACGGCGGCCCAGGAGGCACCCCTTATCATAATGTTTAATGTTTCTAGGGATTTTTGATATTCGCAAAACCAGTCTAACATTTTCACTATGTATTTTGGCAACTCTGTGTAAGCGACAAGAATTCTGTGAAATGTTCTGTAGTCGAAAACCCTCTCTCAAATTGGTAATCGCCTAAACAGCAAAACAAATGTCACTTTGCCCGCCAGCTGCTTGGACTAGACCACCAAAAAAGTGTGTGAACGAAGCTTGACAAGATGCTCACGCAACCGGTTGATGAATGAAGCACAGGGTGAAAGTGTTCGACAGAAAGAAATCTTCACTCCATCATGTTTCCAAAAATTACGAAACCACAAAGAAATGTCCTTTTTTGCTGCCTGCGGCCCAAATATTCTTGTACAGTAACATCTGTAACTAAAGACCACCGTGACTAGCGACCAGCCTGGTACTACAGTAAAACCTGTAACTAAAGACCACCGTGACTAGCGACCAGCCTGGTACTACAGGACACTTCACTAGGAACGGAGGGTCTCTCATTCATATAATTATGGTTGTGAAATACAAACCTCTAACTAAGGACCACCTGACACTAAAGATCGCTTTCTCCGGTGCCAAGGGGTGGTCGTTAGGTACAGGTTAGACTGTTTCTAGAAGGGATGGCTGTATGCATTTAGATCATGATGACTGTTTGAATGTCTTCCTGTGCAGTCACATACACCTGGACGACAACCCACTGGCAACGGACTACCGCCTGTGTGGTGGACTGTACACCGACAGAGAGAAGAGCAAGGAAATCCTGTATTCCGGGTTGTCGTCGGAGGTAATCAAGAATGTCGGAAACGGTCAGTGTTAGGAATAAAGAACGCTAGTCGATTTTTAAAAATGAATGCAGTCCTGGCCCTGCGTCTCTCGTGGAGTCTAGTCTGAATACGTAGTGTTCCTCTCATCATGGGCTTTGCAGAATGCCTAATACGTACGTCGTGTGGAACCACTTGTTATTGTACATAACTAGTCCATCATACATGATAGTGGAGTTCAGTAGTATGTTGACGTTTCGGTTTGTCACAATTCGTCTTCGCTTAGCTTCCCCTTTCTGTATGTATGTATGTATATTTTTATTTGAATTCGCAAGTACACACGGGCTACAAGCCCAATTACATGGAAGCGAATGCCATAATGAGGCCAATTAAAAAAACAAGGTGGAGGAAGGAGGAGGACGGTAGCAAAGCAACAGGGAGGACAATTCAGGAGCAAAATCAACAATTGCACAAATGTGAGAGCACCTGAGACCGAGGTCAAGAAAATTATAACATACAAAGTCATAACAAGAAGTCAACTGGATGTGAAGTAGCACAAGCAAACATTTCCTGACAACGAGAAGGGCTGTAACTACAGCCACAGAAGTAGCTGCTGTAGCAGCAGCAGCAACAGCAGCAACAACAACAAGAACAGCAACAACAGCAACAAAAGCAACAGCAGCAACAACAGCAGCAGCAGCGCCGTGCAGACTACTCCAAGGGGAGTATGGGACTGAGAACACAGAAGGCGGGAGAATTCACGGAGTTTGCAGATCTAGCCCGCCAGCGTGAAGGGCAGTGCGGCTACGGCGAATTCACTGGGACGATTGAGTAGTCTTCTATGTTTATTACACAAACCTGTGCCTCCCAAGTTGGGTGGACCTGGGCCTTCCATGTTGGAAGGTTGTTGGTTTGCGCCTTGGAGAAGTCTTGGAGCTACATGTGGTTGTCAGGTCGCCGAATGTCTCAGCACATGCACACCTTGTCAGTTTGTGTCATTCTGTCGCAGTCGCTGACTGTATAACTTTTAAGATCTGGTTACGCTGGTGGACAGTTAGTCATAACCCGTAACATCTTGGACGTCTCCTTTTTGACCATAATATATATTTTTAATAGGGCAATCCACACAGGCCTTTTTACAGGGTTGTCTATCAAGTTTTTTTATATTTATATATTTTTAGCTTTTGAGTTCTCTGGATGTTGTTACTAGTGTTCTTGTTAAACTACATGGGCAATTTTTTTGTTATTGTTTTTCTCCTTTTGAATTGAGATCATTGACCTTATTAATTTTTGAAACTCGGATGTTGAGCCATAAATAAATGTGGAAGAGAAAAAGACATATGGATACGAGTTAAGAGTAACTCTCCATCACTGTAACATGATACTATAATTATACAGTCAGAAAGTGCAACAACTAGGCACAAAACTGACAGAGTACTGAAACATTCGACGTCCTGACACCTAGCTTCAACACATCTCCGTAGCGCTAACCGACAGCCTTCGAACTTGGAAGGTTCAAGGTTATGGAAAGACCAAAGAGGGGAAGGCAAGCGCAACGAAAACGAGCAAAAGCTACAGTCCCAACGGAACAAAGAATGTCGATTGTTACTGGACGATGACGAGACCAGTACGAAATTTGACAAAGCGGTCTAACTACAATTCGAAGCAGCAAAGCAGCACACCACCCAACTTGGGTGGGTCATAATATCAAAGATAAGTAAAGAAAGGGAAGCTTTGCGAAAACGATGTCAGGACGTCGAATGTTTCAGTACTCTGTCAGTTTTGTACCTAGTTATTGCACTTTCTGACTGTATGATGTTACAGTGATGGAGAGTTACTCTTAACTCGTATCCATATGTCTTTTTCTCTTCCACATTAATTTTTGAGTATGTTTAATTGCATTTTTAATCCATTGTGTTAATTTGTGCCTGTAAAAGAGGCTTGTAACTACATGAACATTTTGGATGAACTTCATATGGAGCATATCACCACTGCCTTCATAATACTCCCATGCCACCCGCATAACACTTTACTGATCGCTTACACTGCCTTCGCGCTGAAACACTGGCATTGCATACCTGCCATGGGACGAAACCTATAGTGAAGAAGACCACACAACCCATAGCCCCAGTCTCCTGATGATTGCTTTACAGCATGAAACTCGTGAGTAGAGACATTTAATCACTTTTTTTGTTCCACCGGATTTTCGTGTGCATGGAGCATATTATGTACTTCAGAAGTTTGTGCTAATCATGTTCCTCCCTGGACTGTTTTTCGGATCTGCATTGTAGTTACGGAAGTATGCAGTAAACCATGCTATTCGTTCAGGCCCGAGTATCTGAACGTCTGCCCGAACGCGTTCTGCAAGGGGACTGTGGGCGACCACCAATGCATCCCAATCGAGCCCGGTAAGCACTGTATCTTGCATGGTATTTTGTACGTTAAATCTTTCATTTGCACGAAACGCACAGAACCACCAGAACTTTTGACATACAAATAGAGTAAGACAGGATTATAGAGAAACTAGCAGCACCACCGGCCAGCGTTGCCTGGCCGAATGTGGCATGCGGGTGAAGCAAGTACGTGAATAGCACACGTGCTCAGCACGTGGTGGTGGCCAGACCGCTGAAGTCCTGGTGAGGGAGGTTCTTCATCGTTGGAAGGAGAAGGAGGGACGTCTGTTACGCCTTCGGGAGGCTGGTTAGGGTTGTCCATCACCTGGTGGCGGATGAAGCGGCTCAAAAAATTCATAAACTTACGAACAAAAGTGCGATGCGCTCTTCACTGCAGATCAGATGCAGAGTGCAGTCAGTGCAGATCTTTTGTATCCTTTTGTTGCAGATGTTTCTATAATTTTGCAGAGAACGGTTCACGTGGTCCGCAGCGCTTGTGCGGCTGCTAGTGCTACCTGAATAGTATGGCCTAGGCTGTAGGTGGCTACATGATTCGCACGCTTCGCGTGCTCAGTGCTTCTGCGCGCGGCTGCTACTGCTACTCGTACTGATCGTGTCTGCTACCACCTACACTGTTCGCACGCTTCGCGTGCTCAGCACGTGGTGGTGGCTACACGATTCGCACGCTTCGCGTGCTCAGTGCTTCTGTGGCTGCTTCCGCTAGCTACACGATTCGCACGCTTCGTTCGCACGCTTCGCGTGCTCAGTGCTTCTGCGGCCGCTAGCTAGCTACACTGTGCTACACTGTTCGCACGCTTCGCGTGCTCAGGGCAGCGCTGCTCCGCAGCGCTTCAGCGTGACACAAAAACACACGTCACAGGTGCCTCTTCTTTATAAGGAGCGTGACACACACACACACAGACACACGTCACAGGTGCCTCTCTTTTATAAGTAAAGATTGAGGCAAGAGGAACACAAAATGGAAGTAAATAGGGCTGTTTTTTGTTGTTGTTGTAACTCAGAGTTGCATGGCAAAAACCAATCATCAGACAACATTAGAAGATTAGAAAAAAACGCAGGTATATGAAGGCAAGCAGAGGAGATAGAATAATTTAGTGCAGACGGTATGATAATCAACACCTCCCAGAGGCAGTTCGCTCTGACGTGCCAGAATCAACACCTCAAGTGCTGGATGCCTATGAGAAAGTGAGGTGTATGTATGGTATTAGAAGAGGGCCAGAAATTGCTTTAAGATCCATACGGTCCAGATGGTCTCAACAGACCGGGGCTCTACCGACAATGGCTGGTTGTAGAAAGGTCACTGTTTCCTCCACCTTGTTACATGCTGCCAAGCAAACAACATGTACAGGTATATTTATATACATGTAGCAGTACTCTCAGGACAGGGCCTGGACCAATTTTCGTCTGATGATCGATTCAATTCGTGAAACTCTGAGTCGCGAAACCGCAACAGCGCGTTCTTCTGTCTGTGTATTCCGCTCATTGCGTTCGTCAAATGGAGCCGTCTACGGACCGTGGAAGAACCGCACATGGAGAACGAGATAGAAAGAGAGTGTTTGCAGTACGATTTGTATTGCATTTATTGGATTCTAAAAGGTAGCTCGAGCCACTGTGTACGTGAAACACGTCTACAGAGGAAACGCTGTTCTCTCTTTTTTAATTTGTTTTCTAGCATGCATGGACAATAGAAGCAGCTTTCCATATCTGCAGTTACATTGAGCCATGGTGTTTTTTATTTTTGTGATTCCTTCCCGGAAGCAAAATGCTGGTTTTTATACCCCGTGTGTAGTTACCTACGTCACAGAGAGTGTAAGATAGCTACATTCGAATGACTATTGAGCACTCTGCCGAGACGGAGGACTCTCATTTGTACATCGCGCAGTCAGTCAGCGATATTTGCAATAATAATAATGATAATGCATGGACTACGAAAATGATAGTCGTATGGGGATACTTATGCATTTCCTGAGACTTCTGACAACTTGAAAGTACCAAAAACTCGATTTTCTCACTTCGTGGCCAAAATTAATAATGACACGAAAATGCGTGCTACTTCATAGCGTTTGAGAACGTTTCTACAAATGGAGAATTCCTGCACACCGTTGCTCTACTTCATGAAGTGAGAAACTTCGAACGAACTTCCCCAACTACGGACCAGAAACATGCAGGATACGCGAAGCGAACTTTCATGCGAAGTTTTGGGGGCTCGAAAGAAGTCAATGGGTTCATGACGTGCACACGCGGACTTGTAAACAAATAATTTTTATTTCAGGATTACCCAAAAGCGGACGCCTATCCGGGGGATCTCCTATTGTGAACTGTGAAAATTCTGGAGAACACAAATGCCTTGCGAAAATCTGTACAAACTTTCGCAAGGCCTGTCGCGGAACTTCGTGCGCATTTTCCTTTTGCAGGACCTCTCCATTGCAAGAAGTCACTGGTTGGTTCAAGGCAGCGTATTCACTAGTCTCACCCACACGTTTGCCTTCGAACGACACAATATAAATACGCAGAGTTCGAAATAAAAATATGGCAGAATTGTTTTGGCTATTTAACCTTATTTATTGTACTGTAAATAGACTGACATGATCACCCCTACACTTTCGGCGGATTTGACGTCATTGCATTATCCTCCTGATCCAAGCTGCTGGTCAGCCAGCATAGAGTACGAAATTGGTTCACAAATCGCATGTTGACACAGCAAGTTGTTTTTTGTGGAGCGCTTGGGTTGCAATAAAGCCGATCCCTATGGTCGGTCGAGCTGCCTCTGCCTCTTCGCCACTTCTGCCATTCTATGCCTCATCGCTGCCTTGCAGCTTTCTGCTGTCAAATGGCGTGTAGTTTTCTGTAAAAACAACTGGGCAAAAGCGAACTTCTTTCTTTCGAATCCATGTGATGACCGTCACATTTAGTTCAGATTTTGTTCACCTTTTTCTAACTTGAACTTTTCTCAAACCTGTGGGAACTGATACATCCATGTTGGTGTTGTTTTTTTGTTTTTGTTTTTTTTTGTCATCAAGGAAAAAAGTTTGAATTTTACTGCGGTGGAAGCGGACATAGGCTCGCAATGACAACAAGCGAAGAGGACACATTCGCGCCATCCGAAGCCGCATGCAATGCAATCAATGGCTACCTGGCAAGGAACAATGATTTAAGGTACGGCTGCGCCCAGGAGCTAGTGGCCCAGGTCCGCAAGCACTACAATCTCGACTACACGCCAGTTGCGTGGATCGGAAATATCTACAAAGGGAACGCTTTCGCCACCAATGGATATACGTATGCGCCAACAACCACCAAGCTGTACCGTGTGTGCTATAGCTGTCGCGAATTCCCTCACTGTTATGGCCGCTAAGGTTTTGCGGGTGTTAACGGCCGTGGTGAGTTCCCTTCCGGAACGGACACGATAATGAACTTACTTTGGATGATCTACGTACATTGCCCAAAACGTTTCCCATATTCGTTTTGGTAGCTTCTTTTTTCCATCGAATTTTACCTCTCATAGAAATTTCGGTGCCACAGTGTGGATTTTTAACACTGCATGTTTTGTATAGGTTTTTGGCCAATCTTCACCGGCCCGCACGAATAGTGCATAGAGGTGCATGTAGAGTGTATGGAATGGAGACTTTGTTTCGTCTGTTCTTATTCCTTCGATGCCAGTAAGAACCCTGTTATGATCTTCATTCCCACTGCCCCCGTTTTTCCATGCTTTTCCATGGTGTTACTAATGTAGTTATGCATTCATCTTCTTCACACCGTGTTCCGCCACTAGCAAGGCTTTGCTGTGTACCTTTGCTGCATGCATGCGCTAGTCAAGCATCTGTTTTGCTGATTCTTCTAACCATGCATGATTTGACCGTTGTTTCTGCAATGATGCTGCAGTTCCGTGATGCTAGTGCTGGCAGGCTGACATTGGCCGATTTGTAGTGGTGAGGTAGACAAGTACGAGACTCAACTATTCACATCGTGTCTTGGATGGCTAAGTGCAAGTCTGAAAACTCTGAAAGGCAAGTTATGGTACCAGAATTAGTATACGAATAAGTGACATGTGTGTGTGTGTGCGTGTGTATGTTTGTACACGACGCAGAGCACCACGCATCATTCGTTGTAACATGCCCATAGCCAATGGCATAGGCAATCATCATACAACTACAATAATAATCGCCTAGCTAGGGTTTGAAACGTTTAAAAATAACAACGAATGATGCGTGGTGCTCTGTGTTTTGTCGAAGATTGCTCTATTCGAATGCATATTGAGCACTCTACTGAGTTCGAGGACTCCCATTAACGTCTTATATGTTTTTAATTTCTCAAATACACGCTGGCTACAAGTTCTATCACATGGAAGCAAATGTGAGAATAGAGTTAAAGAAAGAGATTTTAGCAGTAGGACGACGATAGCAAAGTAACAGCCAAGACAATTCAGTAGCAAAATAATATTGACTGTATGCATCTAAGATGGCCGACAACTTTTTGCGGGGCAAGTTACGCCATACTTGGCAGCAGGGAGTCGTAAAATACCGGGAGGCGACACGAGATGCACAACCGCGTCGGATGATTGACTCAGCTCGGGCACGAGTGCTGAGGGAAAATATAGAATCCCCATGAGGTCAAAGCGGCGCAGGTCATGCACAAAGGACCCGTTCGCTGTTTGGTCCCAAAAATCCAAAAAATAATCCTGCTCCCAAGGAATCGTCCGAGTGTCAGCAGTTGATTTGGTGATTCTAAGTTTGTGCCTTGACGGGGTAAAGGATGATGGAGCTTGACAGAGATGCCTGCCAAAGTGATGAGTCCACCGTGGAAGATGTAGATGACGCCACGTGTCCACTTGGAGACCTGAGTTGTGGAGATGTTCAGCTGTGGACTACTGGTGAGATTCTCTCGTCTGCATTTTTTGGTCTCGTCTTGTCCTTGTGAACACGAATGTATGATCTGTAGCATACTAAGCGCCCCAAACTCACCCGAAAAATGGGAGTCTGCCCACGGTGCATTGTCTGTTCACTATGACATGTGACAGTGTTGAAACTGTGACAGGATATTATTTTATTCATGTCCTGAAAATTACGTGTGTACCTAGTATGTAATTTGTTGACATTATAATTATGTAAACCTCCGCCCCCAACCCTTGCTTTGCCTATGTGCAGATCCATGTAAGAGTGGCAGTGCCACCATGGTGTACAGGCCTATGGAAGGTGAAATAATCCATGGAATTTGCGAACTGCTGACAATGAGACAGGCGAGTGTTACTGAGGCGATGGAGTCATTCCTACATGTTATCAGGACACAGTTACACAAGGCATCAGGTTTTGGAAATCTGCTACGCCAGGAAGTGTGCCAGCGGAAGGCATGCAATGGTGCTGGCATTTCGCAACCATGGCAACAAGTGCTCTCCAGCATCTCAACAGCTTTTCCCAAAGTGAAGCTCTGTATAAGACACAATATGACACAGCTAAAAACAACTGAAGCAGTGACATGTGAATGTTGCACGAGCATGCGTGTGTGTGTATGTGTGTGTGTGTGTGTATGTGTGCGGCTGTGCCAAAGCCTAGAGTGTTCATTTGCGGCTGTGGCAGGGACTTCCGTCGGCCCAA